AAGCTACCTAGAGCCCAGCTGGACTCCCATCTGCGCTCTCCCCACTGCACAGGACCGAGCATGGGAAATTAAAGCAGCATTCAGCATGCAGATGAAGGACCTCCTACAAAGCCAATAATCCCAATGACCCAAGCGGTGCGTGCTGCTACATAAAAATCCTTGGGAGAGAGATGCATGCTTTCTGCTGCAATCAGTTTACCTACCAGCCCTCCCGTGTAATATATCCCTGTGAGTGCGTGTTCTGTTCTGGAACAGCTGAACAGAACAGCCGTTTAACAACAGACTGCACAGGGAGACACTGAAGACTAAGATGCTGAAGACGCAGTAATAATTGCTCGAGTATGTAGAACAGGTACCGATTCTTGTCAAAACAACGAGTCTTGTGGGGCTTGACTGCTGCTAACATAAGAACCCCTTCCCCTCGTTAGCAGAAGCCTTGGTGCGACTGCACAACATCCAACACCTTAGCAAAGCAGACTGACGTACCACCTCGAGTGACAGCTGCTAGAATCTGCTGTTGAAGACCGACAGGCGCTGACATTGTCCTGTACGTCGTACAAAAGACAAGCAGCTATGCAGGCTCCCCCTCAAGAAGCCGCATGAGTTGAAGAGTTCCCTGCAGTTTTCACAACTTCTCAAGACTATCTTTGCAAGTTCTAGGATTAGCAACACATCAAATCAGCACAAAAGCTTAAATACACCAACCAAAATTATTGTAAATAGCACAAGACCAGCAATTCGGAAGCAGCAGCATTCCATTAATAAGTCACCAGCGCTAAGATTCATTCTGCTGGAGTAACTTTGAACTAAGGTCATAGATTTTACTATACCTGAAACAGACTGTATGTGCTTTGACTTCCTAGGGTAGAAAAATGGAGTCAGAATATAAGCCCTTACATTCAATACCCAGGAAAACTTAATAGGCATACACAATAGAACATAGCCAAATAAAGTTTTTCAAAGAAAGCCCCTCCTCCTCCTCTTAATAAAAACCTAGTTGTTGCGGGATAGTAAAGATCACAGCCCACACTGGACAATCAGCTTAGCATCGCGTTTCAGTCAGGCTTTAGAGCCAAGACTACCAACATTTACTGTGTTCACCTGAGCAGGCTTTGGTACAGTGCATAAGTCCCCACATCCAGCTGTATGAGGATGTGCTGCAAAGGCCTCATAAATAACAGGATAATCACTGCCACAGATTTCCTGCGACTTGGACACTTTATACTTCCCCTTCCAACAGCTGATATTTTTAAGAGGAAGTATCAAAAAAATGCAGTGCTGAAGTTACTAGACAAATGCAGAAGTTCAGCAGCATTTCTGCATCTAGAATCCGGGATACTGTCCCAGAAGAAACAGCATGCTCTAACACAGGTCACTTGGAAGGGAAGCCAAATACTATTCTCAGGAAATCTGCTCCTTCATACTATGCAGAATTATGATTTTATAGCAGGGAAAATTACTCCACAGTTCTCAGCCACCAAACAACAGAATCGCTGACGTTAGAAGGCACCTCTGGAGATCATCTAGTTCCAACCCCCTGCTCAAAGCAAGCAAGAGCAGGCTGGTCAGGGCCATGACCAGCTGGATTTTGATTATCTCCAAGAATGGAAACCACAAAACTCCCTGAGCAACCTGTTTCTCTGTTGTCACCTTTACAGTAAAACATGTTTTCTTACATTTAAAGGGAATTCCCTGTATTTCAGTTTGTGCCCACTGCTGCTGGTTATTTCAGCAGATACTGCTGAGAAGAGTCTGGCTCCATCTTCTTTGCTCCCTCCCACCAGGTATTTGTATACTTCGCAGTAAGATTCTCTGAGCCTTCTCTTCCCCAGTGCTCTCAGCCTCTCTTCACATGAAAGATGGTCCAAACCTTTAACGGTCTTTGTGGCCCTTTTCTGGACCCACTCCATTAAGTCCATGTCTTCCTTCTACTGGAAAACCCAGAACCAGACACAGCACTCCAGATGTGGTTTCCCCAGAGCTTAATCAAGGGAGAAAACCACCTCCCCAAACCTGCTGGCAGCATTCTTCCTAATGCAGCCTGAGGTAACATTGGCCTTCTTCGCCACAAGGACACCTTGCCAACTCTTGTTCAATGTGGTATCCACCAGGACCTCTAGTCCTTTTCTGCAAAGCTACTTTACAGTCAGCCAGTCCCCAGCCTGTAGCAGGGCACATGGTTATTCCTCCCTGGGTGCAGGACCTGGCATTTTCCTTTGTAGAACTTCATGAGATTCCTGTCAGCCTATTTTTCTGTCAGTTCTGATTGTTCTATCAGTCTGTCAAGGTCCCTCTGTATAGCAGCACAGCCCTCTGCTATATCAAACACCTTCCAATTTTGTATCATCTGCACTCTGAGGAAACGAGTCAGGAATCACCTCCTACACTCAACACAACGATGTGGCTTAGTCTTCTCTTCACACAGACATCAAGAAACCAACCTTCTTGCCATAAGCTTAGAGTTAGAAGTATCACTGTTTCTTAAAATTGACAATATGGACGTTCTTCCATTTAATTATTCATAAAATTCCAGTTGCCACAGGGCACTTTGAGGCCACCTCTGCTCTCGACAGGTCAGGGATCTGCTCAGGTAATGCTCAACTCCATGCTGCAACCATACAAGTCATCTTTCACACAACTTGTTTCTTGGGTACTATAATGCCCCTGTCTCTCGCAGGAGGCTTGCTGGCTCAGCACACGGACAGGTAAATTCAGATGTATTCAAGAAAAAAGATAGGAAATAGAATTATGCTGCCACTGTCAGCACAGTACACAATGGCTACAAGGGGAGATCGTGCAACATGGCAATTCATGAAGCCCATCACAAGCTCCTACTGCCTTCTTCCTCAAAACAGATGGGGACTTACCTGTGAGTGTGCCAATACATACAAGCCTGATATTTCAAGCAAACATCATGCCTTGCACACAAGCTAAATATATATAAAATATATTTATATTTAATACATATACACATCATAAGAGACTCTCCCCTGCCACAAAGATGGGGTGTGAAATCCGTCCATGCAAAAAGTAATACCACCACAAATTGCTATTCAAGCATCCAAGCTTTTATTCAGAAACTTGGGAGTTACCACAGAACAGAAAAAAAGTTGTGTTTGAACATGACCAAATAGTTTGGAGCAGCGATAAGTCTAGATAGAAAGGCTGGCAAGGCATTCATTGTGTAACTGCTCTGACCCACTGAAGATTTGATCAGCTCGGTAGATAACCGGCCTTCTAACTTCAAATGCAGTTATCATGCTACATCTAGAATTTAAATAAAGACCCTAGTTTTATCAATTAAAATACTCCCGTTTCTAAAG